CATCCCCTGCTGGAAGCACGTATATTAACACACGCACAACACTACCCAACGCACAACCACCAACCCACCGCTACGCACTACTACGCTCCACAAAACGCACCGATNCTCTTGACCAATCAAGTGACGTAAATTGTCTAAAGCAATTCCAAACTTTCAAATTTGTGTGGTCACTGCCGTTCGTCCCAGTCTAACTTTTGAAATGCGTATACCACTCCACAACTTCCAGTGTCAGTCCTTGAATTCTCGGAAACATGTTGAAAGCCTGTATGCCCCATAGAAAAGCTTCGCATTACGTGAGTGTGAAGTACGTACCAAAGGGCTAGACGACCCTAGACAGCCCCTCTAGTGTGGTTTGTGCCTTCCTCTCAAAAATGATAGCAGTATCGCTAGACTCTCGCCCAGAAATCCAACCATCAGGGTTTTGGACGCTAATCCAGGGTTCGCTTCCTTATTGCACGACGAACAAAACAAAATGAGGAAGGTTAACTCCTCTGTTGAACGTCACCGCTTGTAGGCAAGCTTTTGGGGATCTCCCCCATATGTATTTACGCATCCATAAGTATGTGAATCTAAGCAGTGCATGATATTCGCGAACTTCTGGGTCGTGCTGTGTTGCGCAGAATGGTCGAGAGAAACCAACCAGTCATCGAAATCAAGCACACTGTTCAAATCATGGAACAACAAGCTTGTAGAACACCCGCAGACGTGTTGGTGCTCAACTACTGCATGAAACGTGAAGATTTAATCCGCACAGCCTAATCCCAGCCAAAATCCCACTCGCTGTTCTCCGGTCGGCTCTTCTTGTGCCCTCGTGAGGCGGCATAGGATAAGCAACACAAAGAGTTCGGCTACAACTGATTACAGTTCTACACTGTTCCCTAGCTATTGTAGTAACAGCCAACACAAGCTGACGTGTTCAGGACCTCCTCGCCTGACTGCTACGAGCAACCGGACCTCGTCATCAATTTCGCTTCATCATTATGACTGTTATATAATCCATCTAAAATTGTTCTGTTGTGTAATACAAATTATTTTCGATGGTTTTTAGAGTTTTGACTCTCAGTGGAAAAAAAAATTTCAAAGAATTTTACCATATTGTTTTCATAAATCGGTTACTGAGTAGGATAAATACAAACTCCGACCGGTGCACGCAAATCCATGTGTTCATTAATCAGTTTTTTTTCCACAACACTGTTGGTCCCACATGCCATGTTGCTTTTTCACTCCCTTGAGGAGCAGTTCTGTTGTCATCCTACTCTTAGTTGTCCCTCTATCTCTCTCTCTCTAATCGCATATTCAGCCGCCCATCCCAGCTTTGCGTGTTATCAAACAACCTAGCGTACCTGAAGGCATGCTCTACTGATCCGCACATGAGATTGACACTGAATTCACCGTCGTGGATTGCACACCCAAACAGGAATGGCCTTTTGTTGCACTGTTGTCATATTAGTTTCACCTAACCAGATCGACGGATGCACTCTGTTTGGCGCCATTTTATTGATCAGAATTTTTTTAACCACCGGATAATCAAATGCTGAAGTTCCATTCATACCGGACCAAAGTAGGCCGTATAAAGCCCTTGGTAAAGTATCACGCAACAATTCGTCTGCTATCTTACAGTCAGCTTTCGGATGTGAAAGCCTAATAATAAATCCAACATCCAAAAAATTACTGTAAAAGTAGAAAGTAAAGTAGAAAGTAAAAAACAAGACGAACATTTAGCCATTAATCGACCACTGTGAATTCAGCAATGGTTACATTCGCAACGCGAGAATATGACCAGAATCGGAAGCAAGGTTGACTAAAAATGCGTATTTTTTATCCCGACTAAAAATATGTTTTCTTCAGTTGTGTGGGGTGATATTTCAGTTTAGCGTACAAATAAACAAAGTTTTTGCGTTCTAAGTTGAAATTGAAAATAACCAACAGTTGACGTGTCTTGAGTATAAGTTGTGTGCAGTTTTAAGGGGAGATTACTCTTCTATCGACGTACAGGACTTTATAAAATATAAAAACTGTCACTGTAAAAAACGGCTTTAAATCAAGGTAATCTACCGATTAGATGACTGTAGCTGTTTTAAACTGGAATTCACAGCGCATCGTTTTCAGCTTTGTTTTCACTACCTGACTTTTGCGTCAAGGAACGACTCATGATAAGCGCACCTACAATATTATATACATATATATATTATCAAGAAACTTTTTTGCGGTTAGCACTCAGAAGATCATCCATTAGCGTATGTTACTAAGAGTAGTAGTTGTACGATTTCTTGAAAAATCTGGATACTTGAGAACAGCGAGATGGATATTTCAAGACGCTAAATTTCTCATGCGAAACCAGGCAGAGTTACCGTACTCATATTCGAGTGTCCTTCTGTCTGTGTGCTTGCAACTTCCCCATGGGCACTGTGAAACACTGAGAGTATCCACTTGATGGCTCTTGATGTTCACGTACGTGCGTGTTGACGTTCCACGGGCTGATGCTTGAATTCAGTCAAATTCATATTCGCCATGCGCACCAGCGTGGTCACATGACTCTGCAGTGAGCAGCGAGAGCGGCGAGACGAATCCTGAGTCGCATTCAAGAAGCAACTTGTAGCGGACCTGTAGACAAATTTCACTTTGCGTACATCACACCTCTCATGCTTTATAGTTGCACATCCTTTCATGTGGCTAAGCACCGTTTGACCCCAACCGTTTCAGTTCCATGCCCACAATACTTTATCCAAAAGTACAGACGTTCTTTTTTCTCAATGTGATCACATTCTCCATAATTCAGCGTCTTGCAGTTTGAAACGTTCATCTTAGTTTTTATAATTTGTTTAAACAAAAAACGAACTTTACTTAACTTGAAGGCCAGAGAAATGAGGA